CAAGTGGGTTTCTCTTAGGCTTTTGTTTTCTGTATTCTTGGCATCTGCAAACTGCTTATTAATAACAACCAAAAATACCTGATGAACCTGCTGCTTTCTTTTTCTCTTACAAATAGTTACCATCATCTGTCCTGTACATTTTTCAAAACTAGAAGGTACACAAATCATCTCTGCAGGATAGGTTTAAATTTGCCCTGCAATTGTTTCTAGTGGTTTAGGAGGCTGGAGTCTCTTGGGCAGGCTAGAAAAATGCTGATGAATATGTGCCAGTCTTTCATGGGCCAGTTGACTGGCAGAAGTGGCAGGGCTGTAAACTGAAATAAGCTTTTAAGGATTTAGGTATGCCTTGTTTTCCTGATAACCTAAGGAACAAGATGTTTCTTTGCATTATAGGCTATTTAATTTTTGCACTGTATGTTAATATAATCTCTTGGTTTTTTTGGGAATGAGTAAAGAGGAGAACTTTGCAACAAAATTCAAGAAGGGTTTTGTAAGTATGGGCTAGTTTCCATGGAGAAGGATCAGTAGTCAAACTGAAGTCTGATGCTAGTTAAGTATAACTTTGCTATATTATGGAATATATAATGCATTTTCTGTAGCTCTTTTTTTATCTTTGCTGCTTTTTTTTTGTGCAGTCAATAGTATAATTTATATATGACTGATTTTTTAAATACAGGTGTACAGGATAGAGACAAGATTTTATTTTGGGGTGGATGAGTGCTTTAGTTCATTGTTTTGTTGCCAGGTGGATGTCAGTGTTGTGGTACCACTGGACAAAGTTGTATCCACATTGGTAGGTTTTTGGCAGTACTTTCCTTAGACAACCAACAGTGAAGAAAGCCAAGCTGTTTATATGTCTGTGAAAGGCAGACCTAGTGTCAGATCCTCATTCAGGAATTAGTTGTAGCTCCAAGTTCTAATGCTGCTCCTGGCTTGGGCTTGCAACTTTCAGAATAATTAAAATCTGCATGCTGATTTAAAGTACTTCGGGAAACTGGCACTTGAATCGGTTACTTTGGGCTGCTAATTGAAAGGATTATCTGGAAGACATTATTTTCTTTGTGGATTCTTGGATTGCCATTTTGCCTGCAGTCGACTCAGGGGATTTATTTGATTTGGGTTTGTTTTGTTTTGGGATTTTGTTTCTTTTCTTTCTCTCCTCAGATTTTCAAATTTTGTTCTGGTTGTGCTGCTTCATCTTCATAGTTGTCTGCCTTTTGTCTCAGTCTCTGTGATTGGAGATGGTAGGAATTGCAGCAAAGTGTGGCTCTGCATCCTTTTTCCTGTTGCTCTCTGCAGTGCTTTGCCTTTGCCACAAAAGTCCCTCAGCTGTGGTTGGAAGAGTGGTAGGCCAGCATTTCTAACCAGGATAAATCAGTGTGAAAAAGGAAGTCTCAGCTTCTTTTCCTGCTCAGGGAGGATTTCCAACTCAGCATATTTTGTGCTTTGAGAAAATGAGGGAGAATAAAGATCACAAAGTACACTTACTTTCTTTCATGTGTGCTGTTATTTTTTGGGATACTACCTCTAAATTACTGACAACAGAGGTCCATTCTGAGGCCAAGTTTTATTGAAACTATAATAACTACACTTCTTGTAGAGAAGTGCTGACCCTTCAGGGCAGCAAGAGGTACAAGAATATCCCAGTCCATCCATCTTAATGTGCTGTTTCCTTCTTAATATGTGCTCCGATACTCTTTTTTTCCTACTTCCAAGTAATTTGGGCATAAGCTTCCTTTTTTAATTTTTTATTTTTTTTAACCCCAAGAGTGTTGCAGGGAGTGTCTTACAAGTTGCTAGAAGTGCATGCACTTCAGGGAGAAAGAGGAGACCAGATCTCCAGAACTTTGAGATTACACAGGAATTCATGAAGATGGAATTGCCTTTAAAAATGTGTAGGAAAAGTGGCAAGTACAAATAGTTCCCTTCATTTTGGTAAACCTTGCTCTGAGTTCCTTTGCCTCATGTCAGTAAATGGGAGTTATGCAATTTCCCAGCAGGTGAAGTCCTTAATTTCCATTAGTTTCAGTAGTCAGCGTGTGCACTGTGAATCAGATATGCATGGCGATGGCCCAGTCTGCAATTCCTGCTGCTGCTTGGCAGGAGTTTATTCAATCTGTTCCTCTTGGCTAGACCTCTTATCCTGGCTTGTGGTCTTATTTACAGTGTGATGGCAGAGTTGTTTCTACTCCAAAGGACTGTAGTGATACTGTCTAAACACTTCAGGATGAGATATGGCTGGAGATCTGCAGAGAGGTGAACTCAATTTAAGTTTTGCAAGAGCTATCTGTTCTTTTCAGTGTTTTTGGTTTGTTTTGGTTTTTTTTTTAGTAGAAGTAGAGACTGTTGGGAATGGGGTTTGGAACTCATGGTGTCTTGAGAGATACTGTTTGGTCTTCTGAGCCATCACATGAATACTCTTCTCCTGGACCTCATAATGTTTTCCATCATTTTTGGTACTGTTCAGAGATTATATAGTTACATAATGATGTGGGTGCAGTTTATCCTTTAAAGTCTGAGTGCAGAGCTGTGGATTTGGCAAAGATCTAGGGAAAAGAAATTTTGGTTAGTGCATGTTAGGGAAGATCTGTTTCAGGAAATCCTAAGCCACACAATTCCAGATATTCATGCTATGGAATGTAAATTTTTATTGTTTTCCCGCTTATTTTATGTACTTAAGACAAACCAGTTTTAGGGGGATTAAGCACATTCCTTGAACAAAGCATGTCCCACTGCATTTACAGTGGTATCATTGTCATATTTTCTGAAAAGTCCCTTCACCAGCATTTCTTCTCTTGGGAAGCTGAGAAGCCTCAGAGAAAAAGGAAAAGAATATTATCTCTTTTGCTTCTCCCTGTTTTGCTGCTTTGGAATGTGGTTGGAGATTTGTTTTTATCCAACATGTGAATTGTTTTAACTTCATGACCAATCACCGTCTCGCTGTGTTGGGATTCGTTAAGCCTTCTGTATGTATCCTTTCTCTATTCTTTAATATAGTTTTAGTATAGTATTCTTTAATATAATATAGTAACATGGTAAACAAGCCTTCTAAGAACATGGAGTCAGATTCATCTTTCCTCCCCATGACGGGGGACCCTGAAAATACCACACAGAGAGTTCAAATTACTGTGTGTTGGCTGTCTGTCCTTGTGCACAGTCACACCCACGGTGGAGGGTGAGCTGTTCCTCATTCAGTGGCTTGGGATTGCCACTTGCACTGGTGCACCCAGCAGTCAGTCTATGTAGTGGCAGTATCTGCCATATGGCATTTCACACACAGCTGGTTGTTACTTTACAGCAAGTAACCTGATGTCGTCCCTGCCTTGGGTTAATCATTTTCAGAATAATTTAGATATGCATGTTGATTTTAGGGCACTTGAAAAATTTGCCACTTGAATCAGGCACGCTGGCTGGCCTGTTGAGAGGATTATGTGAAGGGTAGGGAGAGGCAAGGCTGGCGGTGCCACTTGTGTTGGCAGCAGACAGGGGGTGTTGGCACAGGGCCGATGGAACTGGTCGGTGCAGGGCATGAAAAGTGCTGTGGAGGCAGAGTTAGGGTTAGATGAGAGCTCAGCAGCATGAGAAACTTGGTCTCAATATTCTGATACAAACCAACGTGTAAGTGCCACTACAGGAAGTCTGGTGAGGAATTCTATTACATGGGTATTTTCAGTCCAGAAAGTGCTTGTGTCGGGTAGTATGTGGGGAAGAGCTGGGAATAGTGAGGAAAAATGTAACTATTGTGTAAAATGAGTAGCTTTATTTGGATGATGTTAAATTATAGAAATCCTCTTTTAAGAAAGTATTGAGTAATTGGAGTAGTGTCAGGGATGCATGAAAGATGAGAAATATGAGGTATGTACATGGAAAGGGTCTAAAAATGTGGGATCTGTTTGAGGTGTAAAAATTAGTAATAGAATGATGCCTGTAAATACATGTACGATGAATCTGGACCATCTGTTATCACTGCCTTATAACACAAGTTGGAGGTGCTCATGAGATTCTTACCAAGCTTTCTTTTAAAAGTATGTTGAAGTCAGTTACTGGACATTCAAGTGTATGCATTCATAATAGAATGGAGAGTAATTCTATGTTCTTCCCTAACAATTGCTTGAAGTTAGATTTGAAAATGTAGTTCTGTTTTTAAAGCATGTAGCTTGAAGCCTTTGACTGCAACTACTCCACAAGTAAATAAGGATATCTTCACTTTTTGTTTAAATCTTTTTTTTTTTTCCCAGGACAGATATCCCTGAAGATGTGTGGCTCAAACTACTCCAAACTGTCTGAGCATTTGTTATTTAACTGATGAAGCTTTCCTACCATTTGCTTTCCTCCTGAAGCCTTCATCTATTGAAGGATCAGAATTGGGTACTATGGTAAGACATTTTTTAAAGTTGAAGTAAAATGCTGGACTGCAATGTGCCAATTTATTTTGGTTTTATCTCTTTATTCATTAATAAGACACCACAACAAATAAAAAACCTTAATGGTGTACAAAGCCAGGAGAGGAAGCTTTGAACTAGCTAACCAGCCAAGAAACATCATTCCATGTGTTGTCTGTTCGCACTTGTGCTGTACTTGAAAGTGAAGAGTAAGAATTGAGTGAATCATTTCACAAGATCTTGTGTCTAGATGTATGTGTATAACTCATCACAGTATTGTACAGAAATGTTATACAGGTCTCTTCTAGATACTGCATCTTCTTTGAAATGTATTTGAGTGTAATGTCAGTTTAAATTCCAATATTTCAAATACTTGTGGTGCTTTGTGGCAGCGCATAAGTTTTGATTTTTGGAGGATAAAAATTGGTAGAAATAGGAAGAGGAAACCCTGTAAATAACAGGTGAGAAGGAAATATAACTGAGCCTGAACCTCTAAGCAGATAAAAAAATTTGTTTGCTAGATGATGCAATAATACCATATTCTGAAACTGATATTTGTTCTTGATCTCAACAACAGTAGCAATTTTGAATAACCAAGTGGTTCTTTACAAATTTCAGGAATCAAGATCAGCTAAAACATGAGAAGATACAGTCAAGATGATCCAGCCAGAAGGTCTTTCACTTCATAGAAATATTATTTTTGTTTAATATGTAATATAATTAGACGAAGCCAAAATCAGTTACTTTTCTCGAAATTAGGACGTGCCTGTGGCCTTCATCAGAAATGTTTCTAACATTTTCAAGAAAAAATATGTCCCAGAAACTGAGTATGTTTTTACTAGTCTTTGGAATCATTTGGGGTTTGATGTTGCTACGCTACACTTTTCAGTATCCAAGACGCCAAAGCAGTGCTGAGTTGCGTGGACAGATACTAGATCTCAGTAAAAGATATGTCAAAGCACTGGCAGAAGAAAATAAAAACCTGATGAATGGTGGTGGTGGAGCCTCTATGTCCGGATATGGTAAGAGGAAAAAAGCCATAGTTACTTGAATATATTACTTTTCTGTAAACTAAAGTTATAAATTTTCTTTTTTTCTTTTTAAGTAGTATATGCTCTTCAGGAGAAAAAAACTTCTCTGTATTAACTGATTTGATTTTAGTTTATGCGGTGAAGTTGAAGATTAAGATGAGTTGCAAAATCAAGCTTCATACGTGAAATTTTTGCTTTCCAGGATTTTTTTAGATCTCTTCAGGTACATGAATGCAGTTACTTACGGAATTAACAGCACGTTTGTCTTTTTCTGAATCCTCAGCTATTGAGGAATAAGCATGTGCTTGATTCAGGGACAAAGTTTTATATTAAGTCACTTCGACATTCCACATTCTTCTAGTACCTCATTGCTGACTTCCTGCTTTTATTTATTGAATTTTCTTCTCCCTGAAAAAGCAATGAAAAAGGAAGATACTAGTTGAGTTTGCAGTCTGGAGACTGCAAGGCAATTATGAATTTGGCAAAATCTCTCCTTGTTTTAGAAGGAGCCATAATAGACAATGTCCCTTGTCTTGTGAGCTATAATACTTGATGCATAATATCTCTGATTTGCCTGTCTTGTGAATTTGTACCTAACTTTGATTAATAGGTTGCCAGTATTTACTATCTTATGAAATATTGAAAAGATAACTAAAATTGTTTATGTTTAAAAATAGTATTTCAAAATATGTAATGAACTTTGATCCCCTTAAGATTTACTTAAATGGCTCTGCCTGTTGTAGGATGCCCTTTGCAGGCCTTTGGTAAGAGTGCAAGCAGCAAAAATGTGTCTGAAGTCTTTTTGCTGCTGCTAAGGAAGAAGAAAGCAAGTCTGTGATGACAAGAAGTGCAGGAACAACCCAAGAGGAATAGGAGACTAAAAAGTGTCTAAACCATTAATCCTTTCATTCTTAAAATTAATTTTTATCACAGTGCGAGACTGCCTTCTCTTTTCTTTGCTGTTTTCTCCTCCCACTTTTTTTTTGTCATCAAGGACTTCCTTTACTGCATAATTAGGTTTTTCTGTCATTTAGGGCGTATTTCTGAGTGAGACTTGTCTTCTGTGTTTTTTTCTGGAGTTTGATATAAACTTAAGTCATCTCTTGATCTACCTGCTGATCATCAGAATTAAAACTTGGCAATTCCCTCCATCAGATTGTTGAGCACAAAATGATACTACAGAGTACACGACCCACTCTCTGTACATGACCCAGACCCTGCTCTGGCTTGAAATGTTTAGCGAATTTTTTCTTTAAAGCTCACATTACTAAACAAGAACTAGAGGGAGGTACTTATTTTTTTTTGAAATTTAATTTACTATTAATTTTTAATTTTATCTGGTTTACTCCTGTTTTTTCATTTTGATGCCTGTGATCTTTCTCCCCAATCTTCCTGCTTAGTTAACTGATTAGAGGGCAGCAGGTAGAGACAGAGTTTGTAGATTTCTTCATGTGTAAGGGGAATCTTAACAGCTTGTAAAACCTGGTAAGTTTGTTAATGTTTTTCAAAGCTGAAAGAAGATGGTGATTGGCAACGACGTAAATAGTTTTTTATTGAAAGATGTTACTGCTTTTTTGTTCCAGATCATGAGAATTTTTTTACCATCTTTTCTCTTATTTTTCAGTCAACAAAGATGTAAATAGATTTTTTTAACCCTTGCTTTATAGCTTATGTAAGAAGCAGTAAGATAGCTTCTAATGACAGCTTTTCTGTGGGCTAAATCTGTCATTTATGGGAAAGCTATTAGCTACCTTTTTTATGGTGGAAAGTATTTAGATATATTCTCTTGCATCCAAGGCTAAAAGATGACATAGCTGAGTATTCTAATGCTGTTGTCTGGATGAAATTTGAAATAATACATTTGAATAGCCACTTCTAATGTTCCAATTAGTGTTTTTTGCTCTTATACTCTAATATTTAATTGGCTGCCTTCACAGTTCCCTGTTATAATGGTATCTCCCTTCCCTATTTTATTCCCTAAAATAACAAAGGAATGTTATTAAAGAAAATTCAAGCAGCTGTTTAATTCTGTACTTTTTAATCAATCTTCACTCCTTTCCAAAAAGTATGCTAGGGGGAATAGCAAGTCTTAAGATGTGAATGTGTTGAAATGGCAGTTGTTTTCCACACAGAGTAAATAACAGGCTGTAATTTGTTTTTTCCATTATCTTCAGCGGATCTTAAGAGAACAATTGCTGTTCTTCTGGATGACATCTTGCAACGCCTGGTGAAACTGGAAAACAAGGTTGATTACATCGTTGTGAATGGCTCAGCAGCAAACACCACTAATGGAACTAACCACCAGGTGCCAGTGACTGCAAACAAACGTGCAAAGCCAGCAAGCAACATCAGATAGCAAACAGGCTGCTCTGTGTTGCTGCACCATTGATGGAGAATATTTAAGATAAGCTTTTTGTCTCTGGCTAGGGCAAAGCAGTAGTTGACTCTAAAGCAAGCATAAACTATTGTATTCTACAACATGCTTGGATCTGTGTAGGCCTAATGTGCTTAGGTTCTCAAAGCATTATTTCATTGCCTTTGAGCAGTGCTTCTGAAGTGATCTTTGTTGTCTCTAAAGATATTTTGATATGATTTGATGTAGTAGGCCATTGGATAATAACGTGGAAAGCAATGGGAAACTTATAGGTAGATTTTTGAAATATATTTATTTAAGTATGAATATAACATATCTTTTGGATAGGTGAGCAATATTGTAGTTTATTCATTTTTTGTGGTCTGCATTAAGCCAAGGTAACTGAGGAAAATGTGTTGCTAAACAGATGTTAGAAGATGTGTACACTTAAAATATTTTCTTACTTATTTACTAAAACAATATTAAATTGAGGATAGTGTTGGTGGTAATATTTTAAAATTGTGATCCAAAGAATGTCTTTATTTGCACTATCTGTCAGAATAGTTAAAGAGAAGTTACTGTATATTTAAGAAAATTTATTATAATAGGAAATCATTCTAGGTAGTAACACTGTCCAGGTTTATCTTTATGCCAGAAATAGGGCAGTTAGATTATGAAAAGCAAAATCATCATCTGTGATATCTTAGATGATTATTTCTTAAAAAGATGTATGTATTTTGTAATTGCAGATAAAATTATTTAAGTGATGGAAATAAGTTTTGAATATGTGAATATAGTTTATTTTTATTCATTGTTGTTTGTTTTAACACTTTGATGCCTTGCAGTTTGTGTTTAGTATAGCACACCATCTCCCTGAATTGCTTTCTTGATCACAAGGAAAAGCAATGAAGGGAATCAAGGCATCTCTGCATTTAACAGGGGTATGTGTACTAAGGGTGTCTAATCATGGAATAGTTGAGAGTTAAGGTAATGTTTGCCTTATGTTTAAGTCAGCCTTACAGCTAAGTGAATTGCATGCAGTGTTGGGTGCACTGTATCTCAAATGTTACTGAAATCATATTGAAGTGCCACTGAACCTGTTTTTTTAAACTGTACTGAATGTTTGGGGGGGACAGAATGTTCAGGGACTTTTGCCAAAAGTGTCCTGTAAATGAGGTTTTGGGGATGAGCAAAACCAGAGGCACTGGATGATATACCAGGCAAAGTTATGTGGTTTTTTTCCTTTCTTCTGTTTCCCTGTGTATATTCTTGATGGCTATAAAGGAACATACAATTGCAATCTTAATTAATACTTAGTATCCAGATGATTTTTTTTGTCACATTATGTGTAAACATGTACTCACTTCAATGCAGAAAGAGAAAAATAAATTTTTAATTGTACTTGTAAATGTTCCTGGGTTTGTTTGTTTGTAATTAAATGGTCTTGTCATTCTTGCTACATGTGCTCTGTCAGTTTCTGGATTGGAAAATTGTACATCTGAGTTTTAGTAGTGTTCTTTCTGGTATTCTTCCTTCTTAGTCACTGACTTCTGCTCTTGAAATTCTAATGCCCTGAAACTTTCCTCAGGTTAGAGGAGAAAGGGGAGAAAGAATTGAAAATAAAATAACTGATTTAGATCTTTAATGGCAAAGACTTCACTGTTTAACCTAAGAGTAAAGATCTGTGCAGAACTTCTTTTGAACCTGCAGATTGACAATGTGAAGATAGAGAGAGAGAGAGATTTATATCCATCTGTCTGGTTTTTTTCCTAGATACTTGGTTGTTACAAACTGAAACCTTTGTGCTATAAACATGTGGTTGTTTTCAGAGTAGCAAAACTAAACTTCAGGTGTGCAGACTAAGGTAAAAAAGGGTAAGGAAGGGATAAAGGGAGGGTCTCAGCTGACTTGCCTGTTAACAGTAGTAAGAAAACATCTGCATGTTCTAGCCTGCAGCCTCTTGTGTAGGACTTGTGAGAGGTGTGGCAGCCCTACCAAGGTAGGAGGTTGTGTAAAGAACCCAAGGGCTTGTGAAGAAAGCCTGCAGAAGGCTACAACTTACCCCAGGTCCAAAATGCTTGGTAGTATCCCAGTTTTTGGTTGGGCTGCCAAGCATATTTTTTCTTTCTGAACAATATTTAAGTAATATTTATGCTGCAGTTTTTATGATGCATCTGTGGATTTCCCATTTCAGATGACATCACAAAACCTCATTCAAGTCTTGTGTGTATGGAATCTCCTTATGGTTGGTTGGTTCTTAGGCTGGATGTGGTTTGGGATATTACTTCCTTTTCTTTCATCTTCTATTTTTTAGAAGGCAGGAGGACATAAAACCTCTCTTATAGAAACAACTGCTGATTTGGGGCATGGACGAGTGTTTTGGTTTTGTTCTTGAAATCTTTTGGTAAATTAGGGGATTTGAATTTTCCCAGCTGTAATTTGCCTCATGGGTGTTTATCAGCTGATTTCTCTAGGTAATTGGCAGTACTTCTGTGCCTCTAAGTGATTGCTTAATGTAGGTAGCAAAAAATGACAAGGTTCACTTCCAAACAAAAGTTCTAATGAAGAAAAATGGAAAGAGAAGAGTATTTATTGATTGCTGTCTAAATAGAAATAGCCCAGGTCTCAATACAGCCCTTGTGTTCTACAACGAAATACCTGGCAGGCAAAAATCTTGGGGAAATTGTCTTTATTGGCTTGTTATTTCTGTTGCTTTTCTCATCTAAATAGATAGTTTGGAATCTTTGCATAGTAATCTTAATGTAATGAAGATAACCAAGCATTTTTTCACAGTTGTATGTGAATAAGAAGTGCTGAGCATTTCCACATTAAAGAACTTTTGAGATCAATGGATGGACAGATGCTCCTTCTAAACACACTGATACAACTCTTAACAAGTTGCCTATGCACTGTTGAGATCACAGAAGTTTGCTGATCTGTTTTAAATGAAATAATTTTAAAAATACAGAAACATGGCTGAGGATGTACAGGTTCTTGTGTTTAGTGTGGTGAAACATCAGTATCCTTGGCACCCAGTATTATGCATCACGTATTGCACAGTTGTCTGTTTTTCCAAGTGACTGCTAAATCCTTTTTAATAACGCAATCATTTAAAGAAGCTGACTTGATAGATATGAATTCTAATTTAAAATATTTGCTAATTCGGATGTTTCCAAACCACATCATGTTTGTGATGTGTGCAAGTTGCTTTAGCAACCAAGCTCCTCCTGTGCAGGTACATGTTCTGGGGGTGTTTGCTGCTGTCACAGCCTTTGTTCATGGGAATGTAGAAGCAGAGTAAACTTGGATACCTCTATCAAGAAGTTATTTAGAAAAATGATTGCACAAAATGTAACATTCCAGTGTATTATGTTTTCTTGAAAACCTTTTAATTCCTAAAAAGACACTGACTTATTGAATTGGCTGAGCGTCTAAAATATTCTTATGTACAATTGGTGTGGTGTTGTGATATTTTTAAAGGTGATATAAAATGTAAATTAGCAATTAATCCAAATATGACCCTCCTTACCTAGCAATTGTGCTGTTTTAAATTTTGTACTTTAAAAAAAAAGGCTCTGCTATTTTGGGGTTCAATTTAGTGTATCTGATAGCATGCCACCTTCAAAGGCAAGAACAAAATGGGAGACTTCCCTTTATAGCAGCCAAAAAAGTGAATTAGACTTCTGCTATGTTTTTCATGTATGACTGGTACTGAATGGGTATTTCACTAATCTCAGTTTGTTAGGAATCATGTACGCAGGCATTTGAAAATATCCTTTAGGTTATTAAAAGAAAGTCAAATTAAAAAAAAAAATCACATTATATGCATTCATGGAATCACATCTCTTGAGCACCAGTGGCATTCCATGCTGCTGAATTATCTTATCTCTAAGTGATCTTAATTACTACAACTTTCTTAACTGTGTTTTCAGTACCTCCAGCAAAAACTTTCATTATTAATTGATCCTTGCTTGCACATGAGCTTCCACATTCCCTGTGGCATTCATCAACTTACTTTGTCAGTTGGTGTCTAATCGGGTTCTGGTTTTCTAAAAGCAAAACTGAAGGAAAATATGTTAACATTTTAAAATCCTGTAAACTAGGCTTAATAATACACAAACTAATTTTTATTGTAGCATAGTATATGGTCATGGTTAGAAGTTTATAAAAGTGAGTGCTGCTTGCGTTTATTTTCAAGTATATTGGGATATTGATAACACGTGTGGAGGGAGGAAACAATTTGATGGGAACTGTTTCTGTTATGCTTTATGCCTCTTAAATTCTTCTTGCTTTCAGAAGAGCTAGTCAGATAGTCATTGACCAGATCCATAGAAATAGAATGACTGACTACTACTTCAAAATGATGACTTGAGGTTTAAAATATTAAAAAAGGTTTTTCCTAAATTAATTATTTTTGCATTAGTGAAGTGACTATCTTCAATTTATAGATGTTTCACTGAGAATAATTTTAAGTGCTTGTCAAATCTGTAAGGGTTTAAAAAAATGTAAAGGGTCACACGTTTTATTGTTAACAGAGGGTGTTGAGAGAGACTGTCAACACGCTGTGAAGCATTAAGCTGTTGCCTTTGATGTGTAGGCAGCACCTTAGGTCTCACAGAGCTGTACTGTAAGTATGTGTCCATATGTTCAACCCACTTTGATGTGTTCAGAGATCTTGGGCCAGCAGTATCCGTATGCTGCATCACAACTCCAGGAGGTAAAACATGCCATCTGTGTTCCTGGTCCTTTTACTTACCTTGTGTCATGGCTTCTTCATGGCAACAGAAAGCCTTTTTTTTTTTTTTTTTTTTCCCCTGCTATTCAAAAGTATTTGGTAGTTTACAAAAAAAATCTGTTTTGAGCAATCTTTAATGAATTTTATTTTGGCTGTCTATTAACAATCTCTTAGAAGGGATGAGGGACAGAAATGGGTTATCTAAATTCAAAATGTATTCCAATACTCTTGCTATGACTTAAAAAGAGTGTTTGAGATACCTTTATTAGCTAAGAACACCATTTCTCGGTTACAAAAGTACCTTTTATGTCTGTAAAAGATTACAAAGTACCTTTTATATCCCAAGTAAGTCTACTGATCTAGGTTTGGATCCAAGCAGATCTTATGAGGGTCATATTAGCACTGGGTGCTAATAAACTGAACACTGTCTGTGTTGCAAAACACTTGCTGTGATGAAATCTGGGGAAAAAAATCCTCTATTTTTTGATGGGAAGTAGTTCATAAGACAGATGCCTCAGAAAAAAATTACTTGATTTCCTAATCTCAATAAGTTCTCACTGGCTGTTCATGCATAAACACTGAAATGAGTGACATATAGACTAACATTTGTACCCCTCACTGAAAGCTGCCTTATTATGAAACCTGGTTCTTCTCTCTGAACCCAAGCTGTATTTCAGGGGGCTGTTTCTAACACAGATCTTGCACAGATGAGGTACATCAACCCGTTACACAGGAGCTCTGCTCATTCTGTGTGAGTCAGGCTTGCCAGAGCTCTTCCCCCACACCTCCCCCTTTATTGGCAGGGCTGGGATCTCTGGCAGCAGCAAAATGTGCATACAGATAAGGTATCTCAGAGATCTTCTGTTTTGTGCCGCTCCTGTGGAGCAATGTGTTCCTCAGTATATTCAAAGTCTGTCTGCAGAGCTTCTAGTCCTGCTTTCAAGGACCCCATCTGTTTCTTTTTTGGAGTTTTGGTCACAGGAGGAATTTCCCCTGACTTTTCCCTGACAATCCTGAGGTTTTTGGTGTGATTTTATTTTCTTCCACTAGCTTACTTGAAGACTGCAGTGGGGATTTGCTCCCTTATCTTCCTGCCTTTGAGGGTGAGCTGTTTGCGTTCAGATCTCAGTGTGACAGGACGTGTGTGTTGTGTTCCAGTGCTGCCTGCTCTGCTGAAATTTCTTATACATGTGGCATAGCCACAGGACAAATGCCCAGACCATATGCCCTATCACCTTATTTGGATACTGAGAGTGTCCCTGTTGTTTCATCTCCTTCTGGGGGATGTTTTGGCAACACATTGCCATGGTTCTTGTGACATTCCTCTTCACCACCTTCTGCTGCATTGCTGGTGGCTTGCCCAGTTCAAAACTATGTGGCGATTTCCCTGAATTGCTGAATATTTTTTTTTTCTTTTTCTTTTCCTTTTTTGTTTTTAATTTTTTTTCCTCCAAGGAAGTATCATTGTATGGTATGGAAAAAGCCTTTCCTCTTGGATCTCAATTTGACAGTCTGAAGGCTCATAGCTAATGCTAGCAGGCAGAGCACAATTTAAATACCAATTTCCTAAAGCTTGGATAAGGAAACGTACTTTATTTTTTTTTTTCTTCACATATTTGATCACTTTGTGGCCAGTCTGTTTGTATCAAGGGGAAGCAGTCAATTTACACAGAG